ATAGTGAAAGGAACTTTGGTTAAACTGACTCATTCAGTTGTGATTTTCTTGTGCTTTCAGTTCTCCACTAATATTTTTCCACATACTGGAGGACCTCCCTCTTTTCATACACTACACTGCATCGCTCACCTCTTCCAGCAGCACCCCCTGAGACAGCTGGGGACTCAATCTGCACACAGTGATTAATAGATAATGGAAACAGACAGTTCTTTAAAGAGAGAAAAGTGAAAGTTTGCTGGTTCACTTCCAGCTAGAGACACAAATCCCCATCGAGCTTGCATCTGGTTTAAAAATGCCAAATCCAACATGCAGAGCTACCTGCAGTTAACCCTTTTGTCACAAGACAGCAGCAAACGTTTGTTGACATTCAGACTTTGGCTAAAAGACAATTCCAAATCATGTATCATGTACTTGTATTAGGAGTGTGACAGTTAAACTGAGCCAGCTGAAGTCTCTAGACCTGTGATGCTGTAAAAATATTTTGTGTGTTTTGAAATTCTGCATCATGCATGTGAGACTGCAGCATTTGGGTTCCCAGATGTTTGTAGAAGCTGAAAAGCTTATTTTAAAATTGAAAAATGTTCACACAAACATCTTTCCTTGACCCTGCAGCGGTGAGTTCTTCCCTCCACACCACTCAAGCTGCTGTAATTATCTTTTGATATTCAGTTTCACCTCATCATGAAACTGAATATCACATCAGGTTTGTTTTTGATTGAGTGTCATTCTGCCTGTAAACACGATAGCTCAAAAACCTGAATTAACTTAATGAGTCATTTGTTGAAAATTGACAAAAAGCATAGAAAAGTATAACTTAAACAAACTATGAACCTTACAAGTGTAGTGGGTATTGTCAACATATATAAAACCTTTCTAAGGTTATAAAGTAACTTTATTTGTTAAAAGTTTTTTTTTTTAAAAAATGCTCATGTTTAATTGTATATTGTATTGAGGCTCTTATTTTGTGTTCTAATTTTAATTTTGTTTCTTTTATATTTATTTGTTTTCCATCCATCCATCCATCCGCTTCTGCTTATCCTTTTCAGGGTCGCGGGGGGCGCTGGAGCCTATCCCAGCTGTCATAGGGCGAGAGGCAGGGTACACCCTGGACAGGTCGCCAGTCTATCGCAGGGCCAACACACAGGGACAGACAACCATTCGCACTCACATTCATACCTAGTGACAATTTGGATTATCCAATTAACCTATCCCCACAAGCTGCATGTCTTTGGACGGTGGGAGGAAGCCAGAGTACCCGGAGGGAACCCACGCAAACGGGACATCAACTCCACACAGAAAGATCCCGGCCTGATGTTGGAATTGAACTCAGGACCTTCTTGCTGTGCGGCAACAGTGCTAACCACCGTGCCACCGTGCTGCCCTTTATTTGTTTTTATTTATTTAAATTTATTAAAATTTTATTTTTATTTCCATATCATTCACTTTGGTCAGTGGTTGCTGTTTTTAAAGTGCTTTATAAATAAAGTTGGGTTGCTTTGGCTAAAGATCTAAAATAGGATGTCACTCAGTCAAGGAATGTTCGACTGATGCCACTCTCCAGTGACATGCGGCGAGTGCTACGCTGTGGGCTCTTGCTGAATGAAGCTAGGACAGCCACTGATGTTTCTTCATTAGTGACAGTTTTCTTGCGTCCACATTTTGGAAAATCCAACACTGAACCAGTTTCACGAAACTTAGCAAGCAGTTTGCTAACTGTAGCATGGGAGATGGGTGGTCTCGTAGGGTGTCTTGCATTGAAATCTGCTGCAATGACCCGGTTACTGCGTTCACCAGATATCAACACAATTTCGATCCGCTGCTCACGTGTTAACCTGTTCAACATGTCAATGGCTGTGAACAAAGAGAAACTTAATAACTCATGAAAGAATAAAGTTACATTGAAACCAAGCACACCATTGTTTTTCTTGTGACATTACCAATAAGTTTGATGTGTCACATGACCCTCTTCCTATTGAAAAAACAAAAGTTGTATCCAAGATGGCCGACTTCCAAATGGCCACCATGGTCACCACCCATCTTGAGGAGTTTTCCCCCTCACATATACTAATGTGCCACAAACAGGACTTTAATATTACCAACCATTCCCATGTTATTACATTGTATCCATATAAATGGCCCACCCTGTGCTATTTTAAACTTTGTTTCTCACTGCCATTGTTTGAATTGACATTAAGGCTTTATTTTTTTATTTTATTTTTTTTTAAACTGTGCTTAAAATGTGACTTACTTAGGTTTACTACTTTGTTTGTATTGGCAACATTTAGGAAACCATTATGGTATATGTGGATTATAAATATAGTAAACTAGTAAAGTAAACTAGTACCACGGGCAGCAGCCAAAGCAAAGACCAAGACCTCCCTCTCACCAGCCACCTCCTTCATCTTATCCAGGGGAAAACCAAGGCTTCAGAGGCCAACAGAGAGATATAATCTCTCCAGCATGTCTTGGGTCTGCCCTGGGGCATCCTCTCAGTGGGACATGCCTGGAACTAGCAAAAGCTTGTAACCATAGGTGAGGGTAGGAACGTAGATCAACCAGTAAAAATGTGTTACCATGGCAACTGAGGCTTTGTGTGGATTACCGTCTGTTGAATTCAAGGACTAGGCAGGATGCTTTTCACCTGCCTTGAATTGAGGAGTCCTTGAATGTTGCTCTGTTGCTGTGTTAAGATCATTCTTAGGGTTTGCTAGCTATTATCACCGCTTTGTCCCAAGTTTTGCCTCCCTAGCTCATTCAGAGCTTCAGGAATGAGGTTTTGCATGACTTACATAATGGGCATAGTCACCAGGGGATAGACAGAATTGAAAACTTGATACAGAAGAGATGTTATAGTCCAGGTGTGTTTAGAGGTTGAAGATCATTGTCAGCAACACTGTGTTCAGACTAAGGCAGTTTATTCCAGACCTAAAACAACCATGGGTCACCTCATGGCTGGGAGGCCTAATCAGATTCTAGCAATTAATTTCTAATGCCTTGAACCCTCTGTTGATGGTCATATAAATGTATTGATTCTTACTGATGTGTTCTCCAAGTTTACTGAGTCCATTGCCACTAAGGATAATTCCTATTGAAATAGGTACCTCTCCAAGGCCACATTTAGCTTTTGAAAAGCTTAGTTCAAGTTCTCATCATATTATGAGATGCTAAACACTAATACTTTACTGTTCAGACTCTTCAGAAAGCTTCTCTTGTGCTGTTAAAGATGTTGAGCATCCATTGTTAAATAACTGGATAACAAGTAGATATGAAGATTAGTATTAAAGCCAGTGTGATGTGATGATTTCAACAATTTAAACAGAAATGAAGTCACTATAAAATGGCTCCTGTGAGAGTTTAGGATGTTGGACTTTGCTTATACATCATAAAAGTATTGTTAATTAAAAATAAAACACACATATATTTTGTATTTTAAATATGTAACAGCAGTACATGTATTCTGTTACTCCCCAACACTGTATAAAACCTAAATCAAGCTGTCTTAGAAAGATTAAACGGCCAAATAGCACTGCTTACACCAGTCATTCACACAGCCCCAGATTCCTGTGATTATAAAGAGGAAAAACAGCCCCGCCTACCAGAGGTGGTTCCCAGACTCAGGTCTTACCTGTCACGTTAATGAGAATTACATTAACATGAATCCAATATGATTTTTAATTTCTGCTGCAGTATATCAGTTCTACACTAGAGGTCTCTTTGTAGTGAAAGAAATGATTGATAAACAAGGAAGCGACGGTATTAAAACTGAATGCAGCTTGGAGAAACACTTAAATCAGCTCTGCATTCAGTCTATCCTCTTAGATGGCTTTTGATTGATTCTGGTTTCTGATATTTTTTCAAGTTTAAAATAAACAGCGGCAGTAACTAGGCCTTTAAAATATTCATACAGCCAACTTTTTCTCATTAGAAGTTAAATTTAATAACAGCCATGTTATTGGCAGAAGCTGGATGTTTGTTTCTGGGTTTCATTCTGTGCCTCTCAGGTAAGAATAATTTGTTTCTCTTCATGATAACTGTAAGGAATATGTGTCAGGAATGTAGAAAAAAGACGCAGAGAGTTACAAGTTTATTTAAGAAATGAGAAAAGTCTCAGTTACTTGTTCTGCTGTTCTGAAATCTGAAGTATATCAAAGCACCAGATTGTGATCCTTCACAGTAACATGCTGTCATCACAGATTAGCACAGAAAAGAAAGTTAGCATAAATGTTCACCATGTTTTCTAATCACATGTTGTGTTAAAGGTGTTCAGGGAAAACCAAACAGCATCTGTGCCTTGAAAGGTTCATCAGTGAATCTGCCCTGCTCACATCAACATCCCACTGCAAGAAATAGCTGGTACACTGGATACTTGAGTATCTCCAAGATATTGTTCACTACAGATGAAACACATGTAAAGTACAGCATGTCAGCAGAGAGTAATTTCACTCTAACAATCAATAATCTGACAGAGAGTGATGGAAATTTTTACTGCTGCATTAAAACTGCTGACAGATCAACGTGCCAACAAAGTGGAATTAATTTCCATGTTACAGGTACAGTTCTTTTTACAAATGCATCACAAATGAATGAGTTTATGGATGATCAGTGTATTCATGTTGGTCATGTGACCTCTCAGAGCTGCAGGTAAAGGTGATTCCTGCCACAGAGGGACAGACAGTAACACTGATGTGCAGCAGCAGCTGTCCTCTGACTGAAAAGCCTGCAGCCTACATCTGGTACAAGAACAGAGAGTTTCTCTATGAGGACTGGTCTCCCTGGTACCAAGAGCGGCTCAGCAGTGAGGAAGCAGTCACATACTCCTGTGCTGTCAAAGGCTACGAGCATCTCAGAGCCCCTGAAGTCTCTGTGGGTGAGTCATGATGGACGCCTCCTCATCATGTTATGAGATGTCTGACAGACATGAATAATTTCACTGTTTAAACATCAGTGGTGTTTTTCAGATTCTGTAACTCCGACCTGCTTCAGTGTGACCTATGCTAAAGGGAGAATGTGTTCTTCTCAGCAGACATCAGTGGACGAGTCCTGCTCCATCACATATCCCAGAGGTGAAGTTCTGGACAAACTGCACTTTGAAATTTCATTTTTATTTCTTAATTTATTTGACATGACAGAGATGAACTGGTGGAAAATGTGTTCATCATCTCCCAACAGAAATTCATGTCCAGAGCCCTGCTGAACACAGAGGTCACATCAGACTGACCTGTAACAGCAGCTGTTTTCTGACTGAGCCTCTGATTTCCTTTGTGTGGTATGAAAACAGAAAGCCTACAGTGCAGGAGGGAAAACAGATTCTAGTTTCCATCTCTCAGCCAGACAGTTTGTCTTGTGCTGTAAAAGGTCTTGAGGATGTGCGCTCTGCTGACGTCTGTGAGTAAACTTATTACTTATTGTCTGTAAACTTACAAAATAGAACAGTTATGGTATGGTACAGTTGATTGTTCTGTGTTGTTGTTAGAATATCTGACCACAATAACAGAAACACTGTAAATTTTAATGCTACAATAATAATGTGGTAAACACCATTTTTAAGATCTGATAATGTTTTATTTTGTTGGAACAGTCACAGGTGTTGTTCTTTTGCATTTTTATGCTGTTTTGACTCATTATTGTATGAGGTGTGAGTCTCTGTTATAGCTATTGGCAATTGTCAGTGCTTATTTTGCAATAATTTTATATATTTTGTAATGATTTTGTAATAATTCACTGAGGGTTTTTTTTCTGAAAACAGTTTTTTTGAATCAATAATTTACTGTATATCTTATAGGTTCTGATAAAATATTTGCATAGCAATTGATTAAAAATTTATGATCAAGGGAAATCATTTACATATGTGATACAAGAGCATACATAAACAGAAATGATTTGTTAATTATTTCTGTTTATGTATGTTATATTTCTGTTTCATCCATATTTCAGGTTTCAGTGATTCCTGCTGGAGTTTGAATTATGTCCACAGCAGAATCTGTGCTCTGGAAGGATCTTCAGTGAACATCTCCAGTAAATACTCACATCCTGACTACGAGCAGATACAGTCTAAATGTTGGTATAAATTTAAGGGAAATGCTGAGGAGGAAGCTGAACAGCTGACTGAGGATGCAGATCATGTGGAGTATGATGACATCATGAAGAACCAACACATCCTCAGATTAAAGAAGTTGAAGAGAGATGACTCAGGAGAATACAGGTTCACCATCACAACAGAAGCTGAAGAAGTGATAGAGTCTGATTTTCTTGGAGTTACTCTGATTGTCACAGGTAATTATGGTTTGTCATTATATATGTAAAAACAGCTGTCAACACAATATCCTCTGCAATGCTTTCAACTGAATTGACAAGAAAAAGATGCAGGAATTTTCCTCAGGTGATGATGATGTTTTATTTAGTCAAAAAGCTACAAAGAGTTTTTAATGCTTCTTGCACTCTTCAGAAGTTAGTGAAAATCCAAAGCACCAAATCCTGTTGTCTCTTTAATGAGAAACCGTTACAGTTACTGACCAGTCTGAGTGTTTTTCAGAGCTGAGAGTGAAGATGAGTCCTTCTGCAGTGGTGACAGAGGGTCAGAGAGTCACACTGACCTGCAGCACCAGCTGTCCTCTGACTGACAACACAAACTACATTTGGTACTTGAACAGTCGACCTCTGACCCCGAGAGAGAACCAAACCAAACATCTGATCCTAGACCCAGTCAGCAGGGAGGATGCAGGAAGCTACTCGTGTGCTGTGAAAACCAACAAAGATATCAGCTCTGCTCCAAAGACTCTCACTGTCCAAAGTACTACAGGAACACGGATACGAGCAGCTGCAGGAGTTTCTGCAGCTCTGCTGGGTTTAATACTTCTCCCTATCACTGTCTTCTTGTGTATTAGGTGAACATTATTGTGTTATCTCTAAGACCAGTCATGTTTAAACTTTATTTGTTTTTGTACAACAGGACTTCCAATCCATAAACTTTACAGAATTTCAGAGACATTGCAGCAATATGAATGTATGTGTGTGTGTCAGGTTGTGTCTTAGACTCCACCTTTCTCAGAACATCTCATGCTGCTCCAGGTGTGGGGGCCTATTTCACCCTACCATGCTCCCTGCTGGTGGCTGGTGCCCCACCCGCCAGCTGCTGCTTGGTGTGGCCTGGTCCCCCTGGCTGTGTCCAGGGCCTGCTGGGGTGGGGGCCCAAGGGTCTTCTCTTTAACATGAATTTATGATCACTGTCTCGTCTCATCAGATGACCCTTGATCTCATTTATGAAAACATCTCAGCTCAGTCAGCAGGGCAGGATGATCATCACTACAGCAGACTGCACTTCAGTGAAAACCACACAGCTGACCTCTACTCCACCATCGAGCCACTGTGTGCTCAATAAAGAAACGTTTGTTAATATGGTGATTTTTTTCTCCAATGATAAACGTTTACCATCACAGCAAAGACACTGCAGCTTCTTGATCCATCAGTGGATTACGCTCACTTTATTGGAATATAAATTACAGGAGAAATAAGTTGAAATTGAAATCCAATTGAGATTGAAAAGCTCTAATCTTAAGCACTTTACTTTGTGTGCTTCTGATGCCATTAATGAAAACATCAAAGTCATTGTGTCTGCAGGTTTCTCTTCTGTTAGGTTTTTGTCTGTACCACAAAATAACCACTAACAGTGTCACATGTCTCTGCTCTCACTGTCAGCACTGTCAGGTTTTAGATGAACATATAATAATATGTAGCCATGTCACATGTTTAACTGAGCTGCTTTGAATGTAGTTTGTCTGGAGAAAGACTCAGAAAAATCAAATCTCTTTTCAGCCTTTCAGGTAGGAGTAATGAAAATGATGTTTCTGGAATGTAGAAATTATGCATAATTTTACTCATTAATTTATTTAAGTTTATAATTTGATTTGATCTGTATGACCTCTGAATTGTATTAAAGTACCAGATTTGCATCCTTAACACTAACGTGCTTTCTTCACACATGAAGTCCATCATTCTACAGTGAGAAAGATTATCGACAAGTGAAAAACATTCAAAACTGGCTTCTGACTATAACATGCTGCTGTGCAGTGCAACTAAGATGTCCTAACCTACCAACAACTGTACCAACCTGATTCAAGCTTATTTCAAATACAATGATCAAACAAAATGAAGTATATACATAATATGTGTAACGGGGTTCAGTAACCTTCCAGTGACTGAGGTGGCCATGGCCCTCACAAATTACTGTAAGTTATTACAGTAATTTGCCTTTACCCAGGGGATGCCATACCCTGCATTTACGGACTTCCTAAAATCCACAAGGAAGCTGTCCCACTCAGACCCATAGTCAGTAGCATAAACTCAGCCACTTATAACATTGCTAAACACCTTGCTACCATCCTTGCTCCTCTCGTGGGGAACACCCCACACCACATCAAGAACTCCACCGACTTCATCGACAAGGTCCAGAAACTTACCCTGGATCCAGATGAAACCATGGTGTCCTTTGATGTAGTCTCTCTCTTCACTTGCATACCCACCACGGAGGCCGTAGAGACTGTCAGAAAACGACTACAAGAAGACAGCTCCTTGGAAGACAGGACCAACTTCCCACCCGATCAGATCTGCACACTGTTAGACCTCTGCCTCACCACTACATATTTCAAGTACAACGAAGGCTTTTACAGACAAAAACATGGCTGTGCCATGGGCTCCCCCGTGTCACCTATTGTAGCCAACCTTTACATGGAGGAAGTGGAAAGGAAGGCTCTTGGCTCTTTCAAAGAAAGAGTACCCAGCCACTGGTACAGATATGTAGACGACACCTGGGTCAAAATCAAGACACAAGAAGTGGAATCCTTCACTGCGCACATTAACACTGTGGATAAAAACATCAAGTTCACCAGGGAAGACACAAAGGACAACTGTTTGCCTTTCCTGGACTGCGCTGTGCACATTGAAGAGAACGGCAACCTCAACATCGAAGTTTACCGAAGCCCACACACACAGACCAGTACCTCCTCTTTGACTCCCATCACCCTCTGGAACACAAACTTGGAGTAATCAGGACCCTACACCACCGGGCAGAACATGTTCCCTCTAAGCCTGAAGGGAAAAAGAAGGAACACACACATGTAAAGGAAGCACTCAAAACGTGCGGCTATCCTAAATGGGCGTTCTTAAAGTCAGCAAAGAGGCACAGAAAAGAAGACCAGACACCAGCGAGGGAGGATAAGAAGGACAGACGCAACAACATTGCCATCCCCTATGTAGCCGGTGTATCAGAAAAACTCAGGAGAGTTTTCTCCAAGCATGACATCCCGGTGAATTTCAGACCCAGCAACACGCTCAGACAGAAACTGGTTCACCCGAAAGACAAAACGCCAAAACACAGACTTAACAATGTGGTGTATGCTGTACAGTGCAGCGAGGAATGCCCAGACCTCTACATTGGAGAGACCAAACAGCCACTTCACAAGCGCATGGCACAACACAGAAGAGCCACCTCCACAGGACAAGACTCAGCAGTCCATCTGCATCTTAAGGATAAAGGACACTCTTTCGAGGATGCCAGTGTTCACATTTTGGACAGAGAGGACAGATGAAGTGAAATAAGCCATTTATGTCCACTGTGAGCGACCATCTTTGAACAGAGGCGGTGGTTTATGACACCAACTCTCTGCCATCTATAATCCAGTTTTGAGATCCCTTCCCAGACGCCTTAACGCCCACTCACTTCCTGGGCCATCTGATCTCAGGAATTCACATGATAAGGTGGGGCCAGGTTTCACAATGAACACACCCGAAACTCTGGCTGATTGGGACCCACACCCAGTTTCACACCTTGGCTCAGGCGATTAGAGGATCATCAGGGGGTCCTTTTGTCCCTCTGTGGGGGAAAACTCCCACTAGGTTTATATCTGGGACTCTCCACCATTTGACCTTAGAACTGAAGAAGCTTCTCGGATGAGAGGTGAAACGTCTTCAAGCAACTTAAAGAAGTCCAGACGCTTTTCTTTGCAAGCTCCTTTGACTACGATGACCTGGATGACTGAGAACCTTCACGGACTTATTACTGTAAGTTATTATTAATTATTAAGTTAAGGCCATCTGTGTGACAGCTAAATCCTAGACTAAAATGAGTGATACAAAGGACAGTGAACCCAAGCTCAGCAGCAAATCTTCAACAGAATGGCTTAAAAAGAAAAGAATCAAAGTGTTGCAATGGTCCAGTCCAGTCTTTCCAGACCTTAGCCTGATAGAAATACTGTGTTGAGTCATTAAGAGGGATGTGCAAACCTCCATGAAATGAAGCAATGCTGTAAAGAAGGGTTGGCCAAAATTCTTCTGAAATGATGCAGTTTCTTATAGGAACTGAAAGTAAGATATTTAAAGACTTAGCAGCTCTTGAACTTGAGACACTCTGTCTCTGTCAGGCTCTCTCACACCAAATAAGAGGAAGCCCCAAAACCTAATCAAAGGAGCTTGCAAAGAAAAGCGTCTGGACCTCTTTAAGTTGCTTGAAGACGTTTCACCTCTCATCCGAGAAGCTTCTTCAGTTCTAAGGTCAAATGGTGGAGAGTCCCAGATATAAATCTAGTGGGAGTGACCCCCCACAGAGGGACAAAAGGACCCCCTGATGATCCTCTAATCGCCTGAGCCAAGGTGGGAAACTGGGCGTGGGTCCCAATCAGCCAGAGTTTCGGGTGTGTTCATTGTGAAACCTAATCAGATTTAGCTTCATATAAAGGCAAGCAAACCAGTAAATTGTCTGAAATCAGGCCTACTAAAATCCAGGAACTTTTCATTGAACACAAACCATATTTGAACTTGTTCTAATAAATGTGCTATTTTAGGTATTATGACTTTGTACATTATTGTGGATGGAACAAAAGGTAAAAATCTTGATCCCAGACTCAGAGGACTCAGAACTGGTTCATCATCACCATCATCTCAGCTGCACCTAATATATTCTTGATGGTCTGGTTGTATTAAAGGTTCTTTTTATTGCGCAGCTTAAGGGAAAATTTCAGTGACTTGGATGCCTTTTGAAACTGCTGGAGTGAGAATGAGGAACGAGACAAAAAGAAAAGAGAAGGAATGCAACAGCCAAATGACGCTGTCACAGTCAGTATACATTTCCTCTGTACTCACAAATCACAGAAGAATAAGCTGTATAACATCTTTATTAGTTTTTTTTTTTTTTTTGAGGCGAAAACTCACACCTTGACCAGTCACCAGTAAATGATTTAAACTCATGTTTTTGGTAGATGCAACTACGACATGAATGCCAAAATCCTATGTTGCTTCATTCTTGAGTTATCACATTCACAAACTTTGTGTCCATGCTGCCCATTTGGGGCTAAAAGCTTCTGTTAAATTTATGCATGAATATCTCAACTGGTTTTAGCAACAGTTGTTTAAGCCACACTGCCATCTACTGACAAAACTGAATATTACTGCCATATCACTTTAGAGCAGGGTTGGGGAACTCCAGGCCTCAAGGGCCTGTGTCCTGCAGGTTTTAGATATCATCCTGGGTCAATACACCTGAACCAAATGATTAGTTCATTACTGGGCCTCTGGAGAACTACAAGACATGTTGAAGAGATAATTTAACCATTTAAATCAGCTGTGTTGAAAACCTGTGGGACACTGGCCCTTGAGGCCTGAAATTCCCCCACCACTGCTTTAGAGGAAGAAGTCTTAAAGATATGACAGGAAAAAACACAGTGGGTCATACAGTGAAACGCTTCAATCAATATCATTTTGTAGAAAGGACCCAACACGACTCAGATATGGCTGCTTGTGCACTTTTTTCTTTATCTTATGTCACACTTTGCAGTGTTTCCTCCATCCAGAAGGAGACTGAAGAGCCTCCAGGCCAGAACCAGCAGACTGAGAGATAGCTTCATCCATCAGGCTGTGCTGAATTCTCTCCCTGCTCTGTCCCTCTCGACTCTCTCACACACCAACTCCAGACCTGCATTCCTGCCGCTTCCCGCTGAACCCCCCCACCCCCGAGACATGCAAAACTCTGAACCTCCACCATCGCCTTTTCACTGACTGCCCCAACCCCACTTGCACATGAGCTCTTGCCCACAAGCATTCTGATTGTGTTGGACACTGTTATTTATGTAAGATTGTATTGTATTGTATTGTGTTGTACTTAAGACTTTTATTTTATTTTTTAATCTTTATACTGTTTTAGTGTACAGGAGGGTCATGGGAGCATTGCAATTTCAAATTCCTGTGTATGACCTGTAGATTGGGTTTTTGTCATAAAAGCTGACTTTGACTTTGACATGTGACAGATGTGGAAGAATCTGGAGAAGCTGTGGAGGATGTTATGCTGTCTGTAACATCGGGGAGTTATATCCAAGGAGGGATGCACAGACCTTACAGGCTAGGTAACAGCACCCTGACTGCCATTAGGTATCGGGATGAAATCTTTGGACCCACTGTCAGACCCTACACTGGTGCAGTGGGTCCTGGTTTCCTCTTGGTGCACGACGATGCCTAACCTCATGTGGTGAGAGTATGCAGGCAGTTATTAGAGGATGAAATAATTAATAGCATTGACTGGCCCGAACACTCGCCTGACCCCCAGGATAGCATTTGTCGTGACTTCAGGAGGATGTGCTGATGTTGTCAGGCATGCATAAAAGCATGTGGGGGCAGTACAAACTACTAAGAATCATTTTGAGTTACAAAAACAAAATTTTGGCAAAAAAGCCTGCTGTATCATATTTCCACTTTGATTTTTA